TTTATGTTTTTCTAAATAAAAAATCATGTCATTAGCAAACAAGAATAATTTGACTTACACTTTTCCAATTTAGATCCCCTTTATTTTTGTATTTTTCTTACCTATTTGCTCTAGCTAGGACTTCCTAGCGTGAATAGTAATGGTGAAAGTGGGCATCCTTGTCTTGTTGTACTTCTTCGAAGAATGCTCTTGACTTTTCCCTATTCAGCATGATGTTGGCTATGGGCTTGTTGTATATGGCCTTAGTTATTCTAAGATATGCACCGTCTATGCCTAGTCTGTTGAGAGTTTTTATGATGAAGGGATGATGAATTCTATCAAATAGTTTGTCTGCATCTATTGAGGTGACTATATGGTTTTGTCTTTCATTCTGTTTATGTGATGTATCACATTTATTGGTTTGCATATGTGGAACTATCCTTACATGTCTAGTATAAAACCCACTTAATCATGGTGTATTATCTTTTTGATGTGCTGCTGGATTTGGATTGCTCATATTTTGTTGAGGATAGTTGCATCTGTGTTTATCAGTCATATTGATCTGTAGGTTTCTTTTTTTTTTATCATGCCCTTTTCTAGTTTTGATATAATGATGATACTGGTCTCATGGCATTAGCTAGGGAGAATTTCCTCCTCCTCTATATTTGAAACAAGATTCTTACTACAACTAAGCTATGCAGACCTATCAAGAATGAATTCAAGTTTGAGACATCATTAAGAAGAGGGCTCACAGGACTAAAGTTTGGTGAAGGAGACAGTCTGTTAGTGTCTGGATTTTAGAAACGTGTTACAAGTTTGATCATTACTCTTTTATTTTGATTGTATATGTGCAGTATTGTATTGCTGTAAACATCGTCTCCTACATTCTAAAATTTCTGAAACAGGGTTGCAGCTAAATATCGAAGTGTACATTTAATGTTATAGTCTTCTTTTCTCTGGAAAAATATAATACATGAACAAAATAATATATTCTTAAAAATTTTTAAGTGATACTTATTCAGTATCATAAAATTCTTCTTCTCTATTGAAAATGAAAAAAATCTTAGGAATGTTAAAGCTGATTATCAGTTATATAAAAATAAGAGATTTGCCTATTAAACAAAGCAATCTTTAATATAAATTCAAGATTACATTTTTTTTCTTCTATCAAGTGGGTATGGTAAACACAGTAAGTAGTTAAGAATACTGTCTTTAGAGCCATAAGATGAAGTTTTAAATTCTTAATCTGATAAGTGCCTCTTAAAGGATGTAAATACCATCTTAGAAAAATGCCCCAATCATTTTAAGTATCAAATGTAATATAAAGATAAGAGTATATTACTTCTAGGATTGTGGTTAAAATTGAACATAATATTTTTTGAAAAAACAGTATGGTATTTCATTAATACTAATACCTCAATATATGTTTAATTATTAAGATAAATCTGTGATGGCATTATTTGACCATGAATAAAAATGTACTTTAAACGTCTAAAGGATCATTGTAATATAGATGTTGACGAATACTTCCTGTTTGTATCTATGAAAAAGAAATAGATAAGATTATCTGAAGGCAGAAACAGTAGAATTCATCAAGAAGTGATTAAACATCGAAAGACACACTTCTCATCAACTCTTTCTCAAGAAGCTATTTACGTCAAAATACAGCTCTCTGTCCAGAAACATTTATGTCTATGCATTTTCAGATAATTGCCTGGACCCATACTTTGAATTTTCTTTCCACAAAGTGTACAATGTATATAGTCTCTCATGAAGCTGTAGTGAGTGACAGGGAGAATCCTGTACCACCAGAAACTGGTCTGTATGCTACACTGTAGACGCCAAAGTCGGCTGCTAAATAAAGAGGCATACAAAAAAAAAAAATCAATCCAAAGGAGCAAAGGCAAGTTCTGTGACTAGCAGCTAAAAATAACTTCTAAAGGTGAGGGCTGGGAAAATCCCCTGAGACAAGGTTACAAATCTAGATTTGAAGTAGACAGCCTTTTATAAAATGCCAGTGGAAGAGCTCTTGGTGAGATAGAAGGCTGTTACTGACTCTGAACTAGTCGGACAAGTTAAACAAGTGGTAGTCTTAGGAAAAGGGTATAATAATTCTAACTACAAGGTATTGAACAATGTTTCACTTATCACTTAACAAGAAATACCTTAAAGAATAGGACACAGCTATAATGTGAAACTTTGTTCTTTCTGTAGGAAGAAAATAAAATGAAATGCATTAAGGGAATGCCTGTGTGACTTTAGCGAACAATTTCAGCAGAAAAACTTGCCTGATATTAGCCAACAAGACTGGAAATTAAGATGGAGGCATTGGCCGGTTGCGGCGGCTCACGCCTGTAGTCCCAGCACTTTGGGAGGCCGAGGTAGGTGGATCACAAGGTCAGGAGATCGAGACCATCCTGGCTAGCGCGGTGAAACCCCGTCTCTACGAAAAATACAAAAAAACTAGCCGGGCGAGGTGGCGGGCGCCTGTAGTCCCAGCTACTCGGGAGGCTGAGGCAGGAGAATGGCGTGAACCCGGGAGGCGGAGCTTGCAGTGAGCTGAGATGGCGCCACTGCACTCCAGCCTGAGCGACTGAGAGAGACTCCGTCTCAAAAAAAGAAAAAAGAAGAAGAAGAAGGTATTGAGGCCGGATGCAGTGGCTCACACCTGTAATTCCAGCACTTTGTGAGGCTGAGGTGGGCCAGTCACCTGAGGTCAGGAGTTCAACACCAGCCTGACCAACATGGCAAAACCCTGTCTCTACTAAAAATACAAAAATTAGCCGGACCTGGAGGCACCCGCCTGTACTGAGCGGCTACTCAGGTGGCTGAGGCAGGAGAATCGCTTGAACCCAGGAGGTAGGGGTTGTTGTGAGCTGAGATTGCGCCAGTGCACTCCAGCCTGGGTGACAGAGTGAGACTCTGTCTCAAAAAAAAAAAGGCATTGAATTTGCTTAAGTAAATTTACAATTTATAATGATTTATGGTATACTCTTGGCTTAAAAGAAGTGATTTTAACTTGGTTTGGGTTTTAAAATTTCAACTGTGTGTCAAATTATCTGCATGCCAATACTTTTTATTTGTTCATAAGTTAGACATTTAATGCATGGACTTCTCGCTTTAATTTTACCCCTGTGGCTCATGTTAATCCAGATTCCTAATTTACCACTTCCATTAATTTTAGTAGCTACATATATCATGACACAGTTCCCACTACCTCTTTATTTATTCCACTTCCCGATCCACCCTTCATAAGCAGTTGCCTGTCTTCCCTTCTTCTATAGAGTCCTTGAACATAATTTTCTCAATCAAACATGTTCTTAACAAACTAACAAGATACATTTTCATGTGTTTGATATACTTTGCTTGTTTTGTTTTGGTTTTCCCAGATAATTTCTGCTTCAGGCATGACTACACAGACCAGCCTGAGGCAAAGGTAAACAAATTAATGTGAAAAAGGAGAGGAAAAAATACATGGAAAACAGAATACAAATCAGCATTTCAGTACATTATCCTGGCCTTCTTATTTGCTTTTTATCTGAAAGGAAAATTCTTATTTCTTCTCTGCTCAACTGTTACTCTCACTACTTCACTTCTGACACCAAATGTGTGAGCTTTTTCTAAAAACTTCAACTTAATCCTCTAGTAAACACTAACTGGGTGTCCTTCGATTTAATCAAATTCTAAAACTAACCAGAGTTAGCACAGACCCCACAGGCACGTTAAGAACTCAGTCTCAGAAGACAGCCTTCTATTTCCAATGTCAGTCGCAAGTCTAAATTGTCACCTGTGCTTCTGATTGGCTATAAATTGGAGATTCTCATAAACCCCTCCTCAGGCACAATAACTTGCAAGTATGGCTCCCAGGGGTCGGGAAAACAGTTTATTCACTAGATTACCAGTTTACTGAGGAACAGTCAGCCAGGAGAGATGAATAGGTATCTGTAAGAGAACTTTCATGCTTTGTCAGATGCACCACCCTTCCAAGACCTGAGTATTTTCACCAACCTGGAAACTCTCCAAGCTCATCCTTTGGGGTTTATATGGAGGCTTCATTAAGTAGGCATGATCAATTACACCATTGGCTATTGGTGGTTCAACCAATCTCCAGTCATTCTTCTCTCCCTGAGGTGAGTGTGGAATGGGGAGGAAGGTTCCAACCACCTAATCACATAGTTGCTTCTCCTCTCAACCAGCTAACCAGCTTTGGGGACTTTCCATAAATGGCCTCATTAACACAAACTTAGGTCAGTTCAAAGGGTCTTGTTATGAAGAACATAACAATTCTCCTTTTATCTTTATCACTTTTATCACTTAGGAAATTCCAAGAGTTTCAGGAGCTCTGGGTCACAAATGGGACAAAGACCGAATACATGTTTCTAATTATAAATCACAATATCACAGTCTTATTTAAAGTAGGGTGACAGCTTTGACTCAAATTAGAAAAGCCTTTCCTTCGGACCTAGTGGGCCCTGTTGATCCAAGAGGTTTCTACTTTCTATTTGATTGTTGGCATTACTTCATGTGATCCATTTACTTTCTGCATTCATATTATACATATATTAGGTCAACGATGAGTGACCTTCACATTTCCTTTTCTGTCATCAGAAATCTTATTGACCTGTTTCAGTATTTAGGGAATTTCTTGAGATAAACTTTTACTACACTGAATCAATTTTACTCGTTTCTGCTACTGAATAGCTCCCATTAAGTTATTTTTTAAATATTTATTTATTTTTGAGATGGAGTCTCTCTCTGTCGCCCATGCTAGAGCGCAGTGGCGTGATCTCGGCTCACTCAACCTCCACCTCCCAAGTCCAATTGATTCTCCTGCCTCAGCCTCCAGAGTAGCTGGGATTAGAGGCATGCGTAGCTAGTCTGGTCTGGAACTCCTGACGTCAGGTGAACCACTCATCTCAGCCTCCCAAAGTGCTGGGATTACAGGCATGAGCCACATTAATCAATTTTTAAAAATTTAACTTTTTATATCTTTATTAATTATTATGTCCTATCAGAATTTTTAATGGATTGACACTTTCGACCTCATTGAGATTACAAAAAAGGATATTTTTAGAAACTTTCTCCTGTTTATCAGCATGTTCCTTTTCTATTTTGTTTATTTGTTTATTTTTCTGAAAGATTTAGGGGATACTGGATATATTGCATAGTTGTGAAATCTATTTTTTAGTTTCTGGTTTCTTTAAGAGGTTAATATTTGGTTGTTCATCTTCATATAAACTGCCTTCTTTAGAATATACATATGTGTGTATATATATATATATGTATATATATGTGCCAAATAATTTTCTCTTTGCTTATTCTTTCAGAAGGAAGTGTGTCTTTGGACCCTCATTATAATTAAGATACTCCTTTTAGAGTTTTTTTGGGTGTAGTTTAAAAAATTAGTCTTACATGAAGAGGGAAGAGGAAGGATTATTTTTTCTGCATTCTCATATTGATAATCAGGAACTGTGTTTTTCTGTGAAGCACTGACTTATGGAGAAAATATCCTCAGGGAACCGTGTGCTGATGGAATGCACAATCACTGCTGGGGGGGGTTAATTTTGATAGTTGGGAGTTAGTCTGGGGGCAAAACTCTCCCCTCTAATGGGCATATCTGATCCTGTGGAGAGCCTGTATCAGTAGTAACCACTTTTACAGGGCTCTCTGTGCCTCTAACGAGAGAATAGATTGCCTCCTCTCACAATCACCTTTGGGAATACATTGGGCCCACCTGGATAATGCAAAATAATCTTCCCATTTCAGGATCCTAAATTTAATCACATCTACAAAGTCACTTACGCCTTGTAATATAACATAGTCACAAGGATTAGTAGGGGGACATCTTTGTGAGACAATTATTGTGTATGTCACAGCGACATTTATAATATAACTGTAGCTTAAACAAATGTTAACATCATAAAACAAAAAGACACTGAGGATTCACTGCAATTTAAGAAGACAAAAGATACACAAAAAGTAAGTGCAGTGCATGATCTTGGATTAGACCTGGCACCAGAAAAAAATTGCTATAAATTATTATCAGAATAATTGACATAATTTAAATAATTGAACTATGATTATGTTAATGAATGTTCTTGTTCTGAGGAAAAAAATGCACAGAATTATTTAGGAATCAAAAGGCATACTGCAGCAACATACTCCCAAATGTATTGATAATAATAATAAATAAACATAAAGAAGAAATGACAGAGTAAATTTGGTAAAATGTCAATAATTGGTTAATCTATTAAAGAGATGAAGGAGTTCCTTGTGAGAATTTTGCTAATTTTTCTGTATCTTTGAAATTATTTCCAAATAAAACTATATAAAATATACTTTCCAAAAGATCTCTTACATTATGAAATTATCAGGTAAGCTCTTTATTTTCAGCACATATACAAACAGGGTTAAACAGATATTATCTTTACGACACATCAACTGAGGATGACAGGAAAAGTAGATAAATGAGGTTCAGATGAAAAGGCAGTAGAGTCAAATGTGTTCAGGGTTGGTCCCTAAAGTGAGGTTGCCTGTCTGTCCAGTGAGACGGTACTATATCGGACTGTGAGGTCAGTGATAAATTAGACCTTCTTTCTGAGCTTTAGAGTATTTCAGAAGATTTTTTCAGTAGTGGAGTAACATGATAGAAGCAATAATTAAGGCATAAGTGTTGCTGATGGATTAGAGGAAAGTAACTTTAGAATTTGGCAGCTATGGAAACTTACAACATGCTATATGGCTTTTTTAGCATTCTAATTTTGCGATGGTAAGAATCGAAGCTTGTATATCAGCAGGTGGCCTGGAGAGGAAGAGATATGGAGTTATTACAAAAAGGAATCTATAGTACTTGAAAACAAGCAAGAAACAGCAAGACAGAGGAAGATGAAACTAAGAAGAATAAGAATCTTTTGTTTTCAGTTTCGATAATGAAGCAAATAATGGAACCGATGACAGGAAAATTGGTATGTGAAGATGATTAATTCACTATTTGGCATTATAAGGCTTACTGAATGGCAAGATAAATAATAAAAGATAATCAGTAAGATATTGCAGGTGTAGGACCTGATCTCAGTAGATACAAAAGAAAGTTCAGTTATAAAACTTAGTCAGCAGAAAACGCCTACTGATTTTGATAACTCACATTAACATTAGGCCTAGAGTTATTTGATGTTATGGAAACATGGAAAATCTAATATGGTAAGAAGAGAAATCTATTTTAACTTAATCTATTTCCATACTTACACTGCAATAAGCTGTCATTTTATGCTGTTTAAAGTTGCCATTTCAAGATAAAATGGATTTTGTATGTATAATTTGTCTCTAATTTTATCATGTACTGTTATTTTAAAGCAATGTGTCAGATCTATTTTAATCAAAATTTCATAATTTTAGAACCCGTGTAAAAATTAACTGCAAAATCTATGAAATTACACTCGAGTTGTCATCAGTAATTCCTCCTGGTACTTTTTAGAAAAAAATTCATTCATTCCCTCCTCCAAATATGCAATATAAATTCTACTCTGTTAATGAGTTCTGCAAAACTGATGATTATGGCTTAGCAGTTAAATACTCTGTAGGGATTTTTCTTCTTTTTCACATTTCCTAGTTCTATAGCCCCCTGAAGAACTTCCAACTGAAGAAAAAGTTCTGTTTTTTGTTTTATCTATCTATGCTTCTAACTAAATCCAGTGGACTGCTCTCCATGGGATCCCATAGTTGTGTAGCATCCTTTGAAAACAATAGCCTCCATCATCATAGACATTTATTGAGCACTTGCAATGTATTAAATGTCGTATTAGTGGATGATAATTTAACAGATGAGAAAGTACAGTATATTTGTTTCCTTCTGCTTCTCTAACAAATTGCCACAATCATAATCCCTTATAATACTGCAGAATTACACTCTTACAGTTCTGGAGATCAAAAGTCTAAAAACAAGGTGTTAGTAAGACTGTGCTCCCTTAGGACGCTTCATGGAAGAATCTTTTTCTTTACCTTTTCCAGCTTCTAGAAGTCATCTCATTCATTGGCTCATGGCTCTTCCTCCATCTCCAAAGCCTATCACTCCTACCTCTGCTTCTGTCCCAACTCCTTTTGCCTTTGACTTTTTTACCTCTCTGCTAAAAGGACCTTGTGATTACATTAGGCTTACCTAGATCCAGGATAATATCTTTAATTTATTCACATCTTCAATGTCCCTATTACCATTAAAGATAACATATTCACAGGTTCTGGAAATTAAGAAGTAGACATCTTTGGTCTCAAACTCCTGACCTCAAGTGATCCATGCACCTCTCCTCCCAAAGTACTGGGATTACGGGTGTGAGCCGCTGCACCTGACCTAGAAGTAGACATCTTTGGGAAGCCATTATTCTGTCTACCACACATCAGTCAGAGATATAAATATCTTGCCAGTGTCACCCAATTTCTTACAGAGCAGAGGTCCGAACAAACTCAGAATTATGTAACCACAAATCATGTGCACCCAATCGCTACACCCTCCTGTCCTCCCAGATAGGTCTTATAGTCTCCATCTTCTGAGACTCCCTATCTACATCAATTCCCAATAATAGTGCCACAAAACACATATACTTCATATAATGAGGACTTTAGAAATGGAATCACCATAAGAACACATGTTTTATTCCTTCAAGAAAATCTGGGCATATACTACTTGTCTATAAGCCTTACTATGCTTTTTTATATTTTGAATTTTTCAGTGTCAGACACAAAAGAAGTGATAGAGCTGAGTTGTTTGATCTTGACTCTAAAATAGAAAATTAAACAAAAACGCAAAATCTGCTTTTTGCTTCATGTTCTCGCTACCTGTATTTTCACATAAAGCCAGTGTGCTATGCCCTTTTGCATTTCATATTCACATAATGGCCTTAAAAATATATCCAAAATACATTATTTATTTCAGAGTAATGGATATTCACATTTAAGTTATTGAATGTGAAGCCTTAAAGAATTGATGTAAATACCAAAGCAAACACAACAGTCAACTATGGAACTCTTGTCAAGATAGGATATATTATTTTGTCACAGGCTTCTTAATCTTTTTGTTTATATATGTTCTTTTGGTGTCATGAGTATCTCCATGTGCTGAGCAGAATTTTATAGCTAAGGAACAATAGCATCAATACAATATCAGATTTTCAAAAATTGCAAAGTTGATTCTGGGAATGGAAGGGGTGTCTCCAAATACTTTTAAGAATATAGTCCTAGCTACACAATATCTTGAAATAATACTTATTAGACATATAAATTAGAAATTAATCTGTATAGAGTTGCAGTATCTAGCTATTAAGAAGCTTATGAAATCCAGCTTCCTAACTCTCATATTCTGACAGTTTAATTTTTGTTATATATTGGACATTCCCAATCTATAACATATCCTTCTGTTGTTAAAAAGAGTGGGTCCCTAAAATTAGACTACACAATCACATTGCACTTAAGTATAAAATTTCTATAGATCATAAGGTAACCTAAAACCTCTGGATTATTTTAGTATATTCTTCCCTACAATCTTTCATTTTCAACATTGTCAAAAAATTATTTAATGTGGCAATGGTAACTTATTCCATAAATCTATAAATTCTTGTGTATTCTGATATTCTATGTCCTAATAGCATCATTGCTCAACAATATTTTGTAAACCCAGAACTTTTTAGGCATAGCACTAGTTTGAAATTATTTTGCTTCTTTTTCCTTTGTATTACTTTTTCATATTTTCTTAGAACAACAAATTCTTAGTTCTCCTTTTGTATTTTCTAATTATACTTGCTAAGATATGCCATTGTAAGATAACACAGTATGAAATGTAAGGTTCTTCATGAATTCCTTTTTTAAAATATTAGAAAGGAAAGCAATCCTATAATTTCTTTTGAATAGAATGTTTATCATTTTATCTGAAAGAATAAGAAATAAGTTTAAAATAGTATGTCAAAAATTTGACACAAATAGTTTCAAATGAACTTCATGCCACAGTAGCTTTTCTTTTTATTGCATTAGTAATATTATAATTCAGTTGGCACATTTTCTAAATTAGGTTGATTGCATTAAGACCATCAGATATAACACGCAGCTTTCCTGCATAAAATGAGAAAATAGATCAACTGTATGATACTCAGTTTGCTCACATTTTCCACAATTGTTGAGTTCTTGGACCTTATGTTCCAGATATAGATAAGCATGGTTATTATTATGCTGGAGTCTAAAACAGGAAAAATAAGAAAATTGTCATGCCTCAATTGAGGAAACACTTCCAGACTATTTTAAAAGATGTTTTATTCATTATATTTTTACCAATGAGCACATGCTCAAACATAGTGTAGTTACTTGTTAATCTGTTTCATACTGTGATTTTAAAGGGAAATATATTAATTATTAGAAAAAATTCTTACATTAACTTTAAATGCATTAGTAGGATTAAGTAATTTATACAATATGCTGATGCAGTGCCAAAATAGAGGCCCAATTAATTTTTCTAGCACAAAATTTTTCCATATGTAGTATTTATTTATAATTCTCCCTTTTACTGTAATTTGTTGTTTGTATTTAAATAATTTAAGCATAACCCAGCTTCTATATAATAGCTCTTACCAGAAGTTCAGTTGATAATTACTTGAGGAAATATGTTATAAATGCATTTTATAAAAATTGTGTACTTAATAATAACATAGATTATTACCATTTTTTAGCAGTTTCTATGTGTTTGATATTGTAATATATGCTGGTGTTCACAAAAATCCTTCATAGTAATGATTTCTCCGTTTCAGATTCATAAGGTGAAGATCAAGGAATTTAACCTGACTAGTAGACTGCGTAAGTTATTTTAATGTGCCTAACCTTTTGAGCAGCATGAAGAAAAATCTAGCATTTCCAAATAGTGGTAATCATGATGAAAAATCCATTTAAACTTTCATCATATAAAGACAAGCTGAACGTTTCATAATATTTAGGGTGCGTTTTGTCAGTCTTACAATAATTTTAAAGGCAGACATATCATATAAGGTTTATATTGGTTCTGAATAACTCTAGAAGATATCACACTTTAAACAGATATATATGGAATATTTTGTTAGATGGTATGCTCGATATTTAGTCAATTCAGGCTGCTATAATAAAGTCATAGATTGAGTGGCTTATAAACAGCAGAAATCTTTTCTCACAGTTCTGGAGACCAGAAGTCTCATATCAGAGTGCCAGCATGGTTGGGTTCTGGTGAGGGCCATCTTCCCACTTGCAGACTCCTGTCTTCACGTTGCTTTCTTATATGGTAGAAAGGGGACAAGAGAGCTCTCCAGAATCTCTTTTTACAGGGGCACTAATCACATTCAAGAAGTCTCTACCATCATTACCTAATTACCTCCCAAAATTCTAACCTCCTAAAGCCATCATATTGAGGATTACAATGTCAACATATGCATATTGAGGGAACATAAACATTCAGTTAATAAAATTTAAATCTGTATTAGTTGGGGTTCTTCAGGGAAACAGAACCTATATATAAATATATAAGGCTATTCTTACCTTTCTATGCACATATTTGACATATGCATTATGGACATTAAAACCAAGATGATGATTAAATATAATAGGTAGCAGGCCAAATGAATAAGGTTTTACATATAATTATTAATTATATTTTTGTTTGTGGCATATAAGACGTATTCTATAAGTTCATTAAACTTGTTTAATAGACATCTCATCTCTGTCTTAGAACATATTTTTGATACTTTTTTATAATGTAATGATTTGACACAGCTACATGACTGAAGAAAAAGGTAGCAGCAGATCCATTTATATTACTGTATTTCCTCACCATACGATAAGAGAAGATTTAAATTCTATCACAAACCACATATTCAACATAAATTGAAGGCAGAGATTGCTGAAACCTCAAAATGACTCTAAGTAGAAAGAAAAAAAAATCACTAAATCCAGTACACAATCTTGCATGCTACATTTCCCATCCCAACCCACTCTGAGACTATGCGGCAAGCAAAGGCAATTAGGAAAATTGCAAAGAAAACAAAAGAAGAAACTTAGAAAGAGACAAAAGACTAAGTCCATCCTAAGTCTTAAAATACTAAAAATTAAAATAAAAATGATCAAATTACAGTATGGTTAGAGCATGGGCTACAGAGAAGGAATGCCCAGGTATATGTGATATCTTGGAAACATGCAGCTTCTGAGAAGCTTAAAGATGAAAAAGGAGAAATAAGCACCTTTTGGCAATTGGGTAACAAAGGGAGAAGAGAAGAAAAGGGAACAATATGAAATTCTTCAAGACAAAAGGCAATCATGAACATTAGAACCATAAACCCATATGCCCACCACAAAAACAAAAAGATAATGCTGTACTCTCTCTTCAGACACACACCCTAGTCAGATTACCTGGAGTTTACTTTGCTGGCAAGTGAAGGCAACCATTAAACTAGGAATCTTGCAAAACACTACAGCATCACAAAAATGAACAGGAGAAAAGCCAAGTTCATTCAGAGCTATTGCAGAAGATGATTTGGAGAAAAAAAAACAAATCAACTCAATATAAAAAATGAATTGTAGGCTGGGCGTGGTGGCTCATGCCTGTAATAACAGCATTTTGGGAGGCCGAGGAGAGCAGATTACCTGAGATCGGGAGTTCGAGACCAGCCTGACCAACATGGAGAAACCCCGTCTCTACTAAAAATACAAAATTAGCCGGGAGTGGTGGTGCGTGCCTGTAATCCCAGCTACTCAGGAGACTGAGGCAGGAGAATCGCTTGAACCCGGGAGGCAGAGGTTGCAGTGAGTCGAGATCATGCCATTGCACTCCAGGCTGGGCAACAAGAGTGAAATTCAGTCTCAAAATAAATAAACAAATAATTGTAAATTTTCCAGAGGAAAATAGTTGCAAAAGTAAATTTAGTAAGAGGTATCACAAAAAATCAGGAAAACAATTAAGAGAATGATATAAAGAAATAAGTAAAAATGGAAAGAGTGAAAGTACTGGAAATACGAAACAAGGAAGAAAAATTTTTTAGAATATTGGAGTCCCTGAGGAAAAATGAAGAGTACTAGCATTTAAAACAATAATATAAGAAAATATTCTAAAAATTTTAAAAATACTTCAGTCTATTCATTGAAAATGCTCACTGGATACCTGGGAAAATTAACACAGAAATGTTTACCCTGAGACACATCTTACTAAAAGCGTTCAATTTCAAAAGATAAAGGCCTCAATCCCACCAGGCATAAAGAGTAAATGACTTACAAAGGTAAAACAAATAGACAAACATCAGATTTTTTAAAATACCAATATTCAAAGCAAGGCAATAAACTTAATAGCAGATTTAATAAGAAAATGTATTTTGTACCATACATTTTATTTCCAGCCAAGTTTTCCTTGAAGTATCAAAGCTATAGCTAAACAATTTTTTATAAAACATACAAGGCTTAGGGAATTGTGTCCCCATTAGGTTTCTAGATGGCAAACCTCATCCAACCCAGTGATGATGGAAAATTTAAGCAAAAGGATGGGTAGTGGCAATATAGACATTACATAAATGTACATCTAAGACAAAAACAATGATAGACATGAGGGTGGAAGACTAATAAACAAATGTAAATATTCTGACAAAATAGAAATAAAGCAAATGGAAGGAGAAAGGAGAAGGAAACAGGAAAATAAAATAATCTGTTGTAATAAAAGAGCATAAAGGGTATCATATTTTAAAAAGAAACTGAAAGATTAAATAAGCAAGCAGGAGCCTAAGGGCATTAGAAAGATTTTAAGTATAAATGTAACCACTACCCGCCCCCCCCCACACACACACGCATGCCACATCTCCCAGAGGAAAAATACAGTTATTATTGCAAAAGAGATATAATTATAATATTTTATGACAGAGTTGAGATCAAACATATTAGTCCTGCCAATAAATCTGAATTAACTTAACTTGCCTAATGAGAGGAAAAACAATTCAATTTAAGTCTTAAATCAAGATTCAAGTATATACTCTTTACAAGAGAAACCAAACCTGAAACAAAACGATCTAAAAAGCTAAAAATAAAGATGTGGACAAATACATCTTAGAATAAATGTACTATAAATGAACTATATTTGAACTATAGTTCATATAGAAAATGAACTATAAAGAGAACTACAGCAGCAATTCTACTACCAAAGTACAAATCAATCCCAAAAGCATTAAATATGAAAAGCAAGGACATTCATGAACGTTAAAAAAGCCACTTATAGACACAAAGATATAGTATTTAGTAATACATGTGCTGTGGAGAGCAGCCAGGTGTCCAGGTGGCCAAATAGAATAATAAGTAGCCAAACTGAGAACGTGGGAAGTTCTGGTGGATCAGTGCACATGACTGGGGAGGTGGCAGGCGCTGGCATATAGCTGAGAACTTAATGACAACCCTCTCTAGGGACTACAGCACTGTACAGAGTACTGTGTGGGACGGTGGCTTTCACCAATGAAATGTGCCACGTAAATCCTTTCTTATTGTTCATGTTTGGACCTTAAGGATCCCACATAGGATTCTGGCCTGGAGCCAGACTCATATGTAACAATTATGTTTATGAAGGTAAAACTCTACAGGAGGTACAAGGTGACATAGAAATAAACATTATCATATAGGAGACTTTAAAGCATCATTTTAGAACAAAGGTCCAAAACCCAGTAGAAAACAAAATGGCAAAGTCATGAAAAGACAAACACACACACACACACACAATACACACATAATATGTTATATGAAACTTATATACGTTATATATGAAAAGTATTCAAACTCTCTCATAATTAGAGAAATGTAAATTAAAACAACATCTAAATACCATTTCTCATCCATCAGCTGGCAGAAATTAAAAAGTAAAACCAGAAATTCTGTTGGTAAAGCTGTGGGGAAACAGTAACACTTCTATGTTGTTGGTGGAAATGCAAACTGCTACAATTTCTCAAGAGAGGAATTTAGCAATATCTAACAAAATTACAAATGCACCTAACCCCTTTCATCCAATAACCCCACTGCTAAGAAACTTTCTTAAAGGTATGCCTAAAACCATATATACCAACAGGTTAATCATCGTAGCACTGTTCGTGAAAACTATTAGACACATTCTAAATTCCAATACCTAGAAGAACGGTTGACTAAATTATGATATATCTATACAATCAAGTACTATTTGTAGAAAAGAATAAGGTAATCTCTATAAACTGATTTTATAGTGACTAAAGTCACTTTCAGGATATACAGTTAGGTAGAAAAAAGCAAAATGCAAACAAGTATATATAGTATGCTATCCTTTGTTTAAGAAAGAAAGAGATGTAAGGAAACAACGTATGTATGTGCGTGTGTGCACACAAATACACTCATTTGTACAAAAGAAATGCATGAAGGTTAAACCCGAAACTAAAGAGATTTGTTAGTTACAGGGCCTGGATGGGAAGAGTGAAAACAAGGAAAAACTAGGAATTGAGTAAAAGAGATGAAAAGAAGGGGACACTGCTATGAGTATAACTTGTGTAGCATTGACTCTGAGCCATATTAATGTTCACATATCCCCTAATAAATAAATAAAACCAATCAGGATGTGCTGGGAGCCTATAAAGGAATATAAACAGTCAAAAAAATAAACCCAACTGTATTAAGAATGAATTATATCACCACACTGAAGAAGATAAGGAATGTTTAGGGTTAAAAAGTTTAGATAAATCTTTGACCCAGAAGGATTTGCAGGTTCATAAAAATAGACTTGTCAGGCTCCTACTTCAACAAAAGCTGTGATTAACTCTTGTTATTCAAAACAGCAGTAGACCATG